CTGCTGATGACGTCAGCGATGCGGTTTAATCGGGCGCGCTTTAGTGGAGCGCGGTTTTGTCGTGCCACGCCCTTGGCCTAGACTCAGAAACAGCACACCAACTGGCCATACGCAAGTATGAACAGTTCAAATCGGCCAATAAAGAACTCTAAGTAGGAGAAGGACAGACAGAGGGGTGGAGGCAGAGTCAAGAAAGGGATTCTCCTGGAATTGTTACGTTCCCATAAATGGTATGTCCAACTCCTTTCGATTTCTGTCAACTCTTTGATAGTGCCAATTTAGTGCTGACCGTTAGTTGTCTAGTTTCTTGTGTATAAGGTATAGGTAAAGGTTCCCCTCGTACATATGTTCCCCTTCCTTCACTCACGGAGCGTTGAGCACCAGACGATCCCACTGGCCTTTGATGTCGTCATCCTCCGGTTGCTCCGTGATGTACAGCCCGCTAAACTCCAACGTACGGGCCAGCTCCTTCTCGCGCTTGAAGATGACCAATGGCACTTTGAGACAGTTGTAGCCGATGATGCAGAGGAACGCTACCAGGGTGTGGACGATGGACAGGAATTGCAAGGCTGGCTGCATGTAGCCCGTGCTCTCCTCCAGGAAGAAGTAGACCACGCTGTCTTCTTCGTCCTCGTCCCCGTTGCCGTCCCCGTTGCCACCGTTGTCATCACCGCCGAAGCCGGAGCCTGCCCCAGATCCTGCGTCCAGATCGCCTTCAAGACCAGAGCCCTCAAACTCTTCTTCACCAGGTGGCGTGTCCGACACCTAGGAAGTTGAAATTGTTACAAGACGAAGAGACTCAAGATAGATGCAACCAAGATGCGGATCTAAAGGAGGAATAGCTAAGGTCCATACCTACAATCCTGGCTTTTTCCCAACAATCCTGGCTTTTTTCCAACTTTACATCTTCTGCTTAAGGGTATTACGACCACTTATATCCCAGGGTGATGTCTATTCCTTTCTCTACCCCAACCTCTTAATCAGTGGTGGGTTTCAAAAATTGTTGGAACCTACTCTGTGGGTGTGGCCTTCTTTGTGGGAGTGGCTTGCCAC